GCATTCTTTTTAATTTTTATTTTCTTCTGGTGTAACTGAGTCTATATAAGAGGTAGGATAAAGCCGGATAGTCTTGCTGGCCTAGTGTTAACGAAAGCCTTTTACAAGAATGACACCCAGCTCTGATGATGTCAATCGAATGATGGACGAAAGTTCAGCACGTGGTGCTAAGAATGGCGATACTCACTGACGATGCCAACTACAATGTCGGCGAAACGTCCACGGTTCAAATTTAACAATGATCATGCAGACAATGGACCCCGGACTAGGGACGCTCCAATAAGTCTTCCTTCCAATATGACCAAGTTGCGAAAACAAGATCAAACAACCTCTATGAAACAAGTTCAGTTCTCTTTCGGCGACTTGCTATGGACCCTCACTTTTGCCACAGCGGCCAGTTGAGATAGAAATGTTGTCACACTCGAAGGTCTGTGAATAGTGCATGTCCTTGGCCTGCCTTGAAAGTGCTTGTGTGTGTGTGTGTATGTGAGTGTCGTCGGAAGAGCAGCTTTATATGAACTGCCCTTCGGCCTTGTAGAAGATGTGCTCCGCTCTCGGTTTGCATGTGATACACGCTTTTCTAGAAGCAGATTGTGTGTAGTACAAGTTGAGCAACCGCGATAGAGTCGATACAAACATCAAATATTGTGGAGTTTCAGCCTCCAAAAGACCTTCACGCCTCGTCAGCCCTGTTGTCCGCCAAATCGTGAGGCTGCCAAGCAAGCATCACACCGCTCCGGCCGCGAAGAGGCGACGGAAGGCCACGACCGTCTTGACGCTGTCCACTTGAACCACCCACCATCAGCTACACTTCGCTCGGTTTCTGTGGTCAAGTGGGAAGGAGAATGTGAAGCGCAAGCGTCCAGCCCGCCACGCTTTCCTTGACTTGACCGGAAAAAGAGGTGATGATGTAGAAACCAGATGGACTGTCCCGACGTTCCGGAGAGTAAAGGAGTCTGTCGAAGGGGGAGATGGCATTGCTGATCGGATTTGGCTTTGGGGACTAACTATCAACCATTAAATCTCGCTCGATTGATGGGTTTCACATAATAAACAGAAAAATAGGTCCTAAAAGATAAATTAAACTTCCGAGAGGGCATACTTTTTTATTCACCAGAATAAAAAAGCACATATATAAATAGTGAATACCAAAAAGGCGTAAATTATACGAAGAAAAATTGGGTTTTGAGGAATCTCTTGTTTCATAATTGTTGAGCTTACTTCCATTTCAAATGGAAGTGTTGGGTGAAGAGATTCGAAAGTCGGTTTCCGTAAATACAAAGGGAAAAGTAAATAAGCAAGATATTAGAGCAGAAAAGAGTGAAGCAATGCTAGGTTCCGAATAAATCTTTTA